TAGTATTGTAATTACTCACTGTGGTTAAATGGATAGAATAATGGAATACAACTCAGAAGACCTGAATTCAAAACTGTTTGGCCATGGAATATCTCACTTACTTTGAAAACACTATTAGGGCTGGTATAAGTTGGTTCTGGCTTGACAGCACAGAACACACATCTGCACCCCAGAAAACAGAATGCTGTGCCAATCTTCAGTGGACTGGGAAGTGATGTGTCTCTTTTGTGTCTTTGGGAGGGATAATAGTTCAAACACACGCAGATGATAGGACTTCAGGTGCCCCTGTGACTGCCTATTTCATGTGCTTAAAACACTGTTGCTGTTCCTCATAGCTCTGCAAACCAATTATACCCATGTACAGGATTAAGGCAGAGCAATCCTAGAGGATGCCCAGCTTCACTTCCTCTTGCCAAACCGCTGACTACAGCATATGCCAGTTGCTGTCAATGTCCTGAATGTGCTCTGTAGCCCAGTAAGAAGGATATATGGATGCCGCTACAGTGGACCCTCAACTTATAGATGGCTGCACTTACAGACTTTTCAAGTTACAGACTTATCTGGGTGCAAAATTTAGGTTCGACTTGCAGCCGGAGAATCGACCTACAGACTGGAAAAAAAACCAAAATGGAACAAAAACGGCTGGTTACGGATTAATTGGTTTTCAATGCATTGTAGGTCAATGAAGACTCAACCACAGACTTTTCCACCTGCAGCCACTGTTCCAATACGGATTAATTCCGTAAGTCGAGGGTCCACTGTAGTTTGAAATAGCAACTGGTTAGTTAGAGGAAAGTGTAAATGCTCTTTGTATTCAACTTACTTGGTAGACGTGGGGAGAAGAGATGTGCATTGGACAACTGTAAGGCTTCCTTCCACAAGCTATACGGCTGCCCCTATGCAAATGAAACCAGAGACCAGTCACTAATAGCTTAAGCCTTTTATGGAAACTTAACTTTTGAACCACACATTCACAGTCAAAAAGTTAAAGTCTATCCTTAGTTTCCTAAAGAACACTACCTCAGCTCCTCCGCACCCCACAAATCCTTCATTCTCTAAATTCTAGTGAATGCTAAGGGCCACCATGGTGGGTAATTATAGCTGTGTAGGCCACTCTGGTTCCATTTTTCTAATGGCTATCCTTGGCTGGGTTCAAACCCCTGCTTGGGTGTGAAAACTCACTGGAAAATGGCACTTCTTAAATATCTCACATACCTGGCAGAAGCCTATTGGAATCACTGTTAAGTCCTGAGTGACCTAATAAGACATATAGCACAGTGTCCTTGGGTCAGGTCAACACAATTCAAGACATCACAACAGAGCATTAAGACCAGTGAGGGTTCTTTCCCCCTCCCCATGTTATGAACTTTGGACACAGAGAAGTTACATTGGCATACAAGAGTAGTGAGAAGCTTGTGACCCTCCATTGTTGTTGAACTGGAGCGCCCATCAGCCCTACTTGATTAATGGTGAGGAATGATGGAAGTTGGAGTCCAACTAAATCTGAAAGGCCTCAGGTTGTCCACCGCTAGAATACAGGAGTCAAATCTATAATGTAGTAATCTGCAGACATACTGGATTTATACCATCTGCAGCACTGCCTTTAAAAAAAAAAAGAACAATGTCTTCATCTGATCACACACACACACACACACACACACACACACACACACACAGAGCTCTTTCCATTTCACATACCAAGCCAAAGTCATCCCTAGAAACTGCAATCCTCATTATGTAACAACCTTCTACAATCATGTATGTTTCATACATTTTGGACGTCTAACTTTCAGCAAGCCCAACAAGCATGATCAGTAGTCAGCAAGGTGGCTATGTTCTGTGAGAAAGCACAGTTCTTTATTATACTGTTTTGGTAGGAGAATCCAGCCTTCTTTGCACCAAAAAACCATTGTAGTCTCAGATGCTCACCCACTTTGGACTTTAGTCGCCACACCCTACATCCTGTGCTTTATGATAAAGATCACTAGCAGAGGTAGCTCTTAAAAGCTTTTTGTTTTGTTTTTTTAAGTCTCAGCGGAATAGTTTCCTGTATTCTGAACAGAGCATATGAAGCAAACACAATTTTCTTGTGAAATAAGTAATTTCAGTTTTCTTATTAAGTTTTGTAATCAAACTGTTCCCAGTGTCCTTTCTCAGGCTTTCCCTTTTGAATTGCAGAACCCATGTTCAATGCCCTGGATCCGGAAATGTGTGCAGTGCAGTTTTATGCATAGCTACTCAGAATATCCATGGCTTTAAATGGAAATTACTCCTCTGTAAGAGTATATCGGATTGCATCCTTAAACCTGTACTACCCCACCGAGATTCTGACTATTTTTGGATTCTTTGAGCTACTGACCCCTCCCTGCTTGCTTCATAGCATAATCTGTTTCTGAAATTCCCAAGTACCCATAGCATTAGGTGTGTACTTCAGTTACTCCTTGAAAAAAGAAAAAAGCCCTTCAACTTTTTCTAGATCTTCAGATTCTAGCCATTATGGTTGTTTGAATGTATCCTGGATACAGCTCTACATCAGTGGTTCCCAACCTTGAGTCCCCAGACATTCTTGGACTTAAAGTCCCAGAAGCCCTTGCCAGCACAGCTAGTGGTAAAGGCTTCTGGGAGTTGCAGTCCAAAAATATCTGGAGACCCAAGGTTTGGAACCATTATCCTAGATTAACTTGAAGCAAAACTGATCTCTAGATGTTTTTGACTTCAACTCCCAGAATCCTTAGCTAGTATGATTATGGAAATTGTCCAAAATGTCTTTTGAGTTCCTACCTCTGATCTAGTCCCACATTGCACAGAACTGGGTATACTGAAGCGCATTCAGATCAATAGACTTAATTGCATCAAATCTTGTACAGGACTGAGCTGTAAAGGAACCCAGGTATGTAAGAACATTCACAAGGAAGAACATCTTTAATTTAACTACACCTCAACAATGATACTTAGGATATGCCACTAACCCTCAAGACAACTTATCCCTCTCGTTCTCTTGAACTAAAGCAGGAAAATGGAACATCCAGGCCCCAGATGTTGAAACTTTCTGTTCCATGACCCCTGGCTATGCTGAATAGGGCTGATGAAAATTCCAATGTAACATCTGGAGGACAACATAATTCCCACCCTAGGAGCCAAGAATTTAACCAATATGCTTTATCTGCAAGCCAAACTACTAGAGACTGAAAAAATTAGGTGCCAAAGACAATCAAGATCAATGGGAGGGGGGGAGTTTAAATCTTGATGTTTGAAGAGATAAAAGTGTTTGAAAACTTGATTACTAACAATCTTAAATTGTGTTGTACTGGTAGTAAAAACCATATCTTCCTTGCTGAAAAACATATTAACTAGTTACAGACATATTGATCACAATGTAATTTGAAATCCACTGCAGAGTGAAGCACTGATCCAAAATGTAAATAGCTTTATTGAAAGTCTTCATAGTTCAGGTTTAATATAAAACTAATGTTGCAGTATCTTATCCACTTACCTGAGATCATGCTCCCTTTACAGGGAGTTGCTTCTGAGTAAGCATGTGTAGGAAGATATTACGCTGGATTGAACAGGCAAAAGAATGCAATCACCCTGAGATAACAAGATTTTTCTTGTGCAGCCAAAAGCTGCCTATATAACTGACTCAGATTCTTTGAAAGAGATACAAATATGTAAAAATAAATATGTACTGGTAGATTACATTGACAGGCTAGATTGCCAACTTGACGAATAAAGCAGAGCTTCCTGGAAAACAATGGAGAATGACTGACTTTATTTTAAAAAAAATAAAAGTCTGGTCCATAAAGATATGCAAAGTGCAATTTATGGGGAAAAAATACCAACAGGTTGCTTAGCCTGAAAAAACAGTTGCTCTCTCTCGCTGCGGTGTATGGCAAAATGTCAAGATGCATTTCCGGGCGCTCTGCAGTTCATATGCAACAGAAAGCCTTGGTGGAGCAGTAATGTCTGCCCACCCCCAACTCACCTCACTCAAGCCAAATGCCCTCTTCTAACCAGTGGTTCTCCAAAAGTTTAGAGTACAGTATCAATTCCAATAAAACCCATCTGGCATGGGCAATAGAGGAGAATCTAGGAATAAACATCCAAAATTTCCGTTGGGCCAAGAGGGTGAAAACCATTTCTCTTCCATGTCCAAGAATCAAGTCAGGTTTGCTTCAGCAAAGGGGCTGCTGTGGGAAATATAAACAGACTAACTGCTGCTCTAAAGTGTTATGAAAAACCATTCAGAGAAGTAGCCTAGTGAAGGTGGGGGGAGGGGGATTCTCCAGACATTTATCAGATGGTGGCTGCTAGCTTCCCCCATACTCTGAAACCATGTAGTGGATATTCAGTTACAAATGGCCACACTTTTTTAAAGAGTGGAAGAACCAAAAAATGCATATTGACAGCTGTGTATTAAAAAGAACCCTACCCTAATGGTATTAGACTGGAAGATCCAAAACCTATGAAAACTATTAAAAATGAAGTCCCTACTGTGCCTAGTCTGCTATTGGCAGATGCATATATATATAAATTTTTGAATTTTTTTTAAAAAATAAATTATTAAAATAAAATTTAATCTAGATTTCTATTGACTCCGACGACCCCATATTAATGCAGGTGCTTGGGATTCTTCCTTTGGGTGTATCCTCAAAAAATAAAAAATAAAAAATAAAATAAAAAAGGAAATAAAAGGAAAAGATACCATAGCAATGTAATCCAGGTTTTAAAACATTTTATTTGCATATTAAAAAAATTGTGCATTCCAATAATTAAAATCATTTGAACAAAAAAAATGGCACTCGATTAACTGCATTTTACAGCTTGCAGGACCTTGGTACAGCTTTGCGTATTTTCGTTTGTTACTAGAATTACTGTAGTCCCTTTTCCAGGATCTTCCTTCAAGAAACATGCAAGATCTTTCGTGCCACCAAAGACCAAAGCTGGACGGGCAGATGGAAAGGACAGCGCCTTCATTCAGCGTCAGTAGTTCTTCTCTATTCTTTTTTTTTTTGGATGTGACAGGGGGCAGTACAGTCATTTAAACTTTATCCAACTTCTTTGCATCTTACAAAGTTAAAACAGCTAAAAGAAGAAAAATAAGAAGGCAATGCTTGTGGAATGTACAGTGCATAATTTGGAAGGGCTGATTTCATTACGATTCACCCGCCTGCTTCTCCTGTTCAATTGCTGTAAAATGGAAAGTGGGGGTGGAGGAGAAAGACAGAAAGAAAAAATGAATTAGGTAACTGAAATCAAGCTCAGCATGAATTGTTATACCGTTTCCCCTAAAAAAAAGACCTAACCTGAAAATAAGCCCTAGTATGATTTTTCAGGATGCTCATAATATAAGCCCTACCCCAAAAATACCCCCCAGGTTAAGTGAAACCCCGCCCTCCACCATTGTGCAGCAACCAGAAGATGACACGACTGTATTTGAATAAATGTAGATTGTAGTACATGAAAAAAATAATAATAAAACATCCCCTGAAAATAAGCCCTAATAGTTTTTTGGAGCAAAAATCAATAAGAACCTATCTTATTTTTGGGAAACAGGGTGGAAACATCATTAGAAAATTAAAAATATCATCAGTATTCTATAATTGCAAAATTAAATGTCTTCATGTTGAAAAAATATTTAAATAAATGTTTTTAATACACAGATGTGTGTAGATTAAGGCACTACTATTCGGTAAAGCTCCTGCAGCTGCATTCTTAAGATGAGAGGAAAGGCACACAGATCTGGTCTGCCTTCTCTTCTTTGTCTCCTCTGGCCCACGCCCTCTTTCCATTTTCTCAAAGCCCTGCTTACTTTCTTTTGAAGGCAGTGGGTTCTTCTCTTGCGTTTCTGTCTTCTTCAACTTAGACTTGTCAAATTTCTCAATTTCAGCCATATCTGGTTTGTCAGACATATCTGCTGATTAATCTGCACACAACAATATGAAAAAGGCAAGTTATAGTACCACCGCTCTCAGGCAACCCCCCCTTCCCCTTCTCAATGGTAGAAAGCTCCCTTCAATTCCTTCCAGCCCTCTCAGCTTCCTCCTGCTGAAGAAGCACACCCTAAATACTCCTCCTTATTTCTAAAAACCCGGTTCCTGTTATGTGCACATGCCTAATGAGGGGGAATTAATTCTGCCCCCAAAAAAGAAGCAGCTGCAGCCCACATGGCTGAGAATCTCTGAGGAAGCAGTTGAGTGGGTGGGACAGAATTTAAAAGGGTTTTTTTAAAAAAAAACGGGGGGAGGGAGAAAACACCACTAAGTCAATTTTCGTTTACAAAAAAGGAAAGGAATTGGGGAGGGCAGAATTTATTATTTATATTTTTATCCCGCCTATCTGGTCAGACGACTTCTGCTATTAAAATCGAAAAAATCAGCCTTCGCATATGGAGAGCGCAAAATAAATGGCACACGGGGAGGGGGGGGGAAGCAAATAGTATTCTTATAAGTTACGGAGCCTTGGTTATCTATGAAGCAGCGCCCAGACAATACAAGGAGAGACGATGCTAATCGCCTTCTCCATCTTGTTGATGTCTGCGTCTCCCTCGCACATTTGGATGGAGTCCTGCATTCTTGCCTCTCTTCACAAAGAGCTGCAGGCGAAGGAGCCCCCGAACCACCGCCCTTCCTTTCTCTCTCTCTCCCGCTCTTTCTCTCTCCCGCCTCATTTTCTCCTTCCTCAATGCCACCGGAGATCCACAGGGCTGCTCGCCATTACAACAAAGGGCGGCTTCTTTTGTTGCAAGGCACGCAGGGCAGGCGACCGGACGGACGGACAGACGGATGACCGACCCTCCGCTTGCTCCCCTTTTTTTCCCAGGGACCGGGGATCGCGCCCAAGGCAAAGCAAAGCAAACTCACTCCCTTTTTGCTCTTGGCGAAGGGCTTAGCCGTCAAAAGCGCCGTCTTGAAACACGTTCCAGGTAATGCAGAAGATTGCAATAAAAAGCCAACGAAATTTAAAGCGGGGGGGGGGGGGGACGGCGGAATCTGATCCCGCGGCTCTCCCTCTCCCGCCCCCCCTCCCACAAAGAAGCCCCTCCAGGGGGCTTGTGTTACCCAGACGATCGTCTGAAGGCTGACACCGCTTCCCATGAGGAGGACGGCGGCATTCACCTTGGCTATTGCATCTGCTGCAAATCTAACCTCCCGAGCATAGCCTGGGGCAGAGGAAAGCCCTTCGCGCAAACGCCCCGCAAAGCAAAAGATCAATTTCGTCTGAAAGCCAATCTTATCCAAAGTAGGCTTTAAAAAAAAAGTGCAACCAAGCTCTCCCCCCTCCCCACGTAAGAGAATAAATGTTATCCTCACCAGTGATAGTGAACACAACCAAGTCCGATCTCCGATCTCCCCAGCAGCTGCTCTAGACGCCAGTACCAGGGGAGGCTCGCCCTGCATGACCAGTTATAGACCCACTTTTATGCAAATCGCAGTGATGTCATCGTGAATTCGCTTAACCCTTTCGCCTCCCTAGACGAGCCCTCCTTCCTCTTGAAGGAAGGAAGGAAAGAAACCAGGAGGCAGCCTTTGTGCAGCCTACAGAGGGAAAGCAAAAACTCAACTCAAAAAAAGGGGGGGGGGCAAAAAAAAAGCAATCTTTCTCAATTGCAAAGCATCCTTCGTATAGATTTTTGTTTCCCGCCCCCGAGTCCCCGGCAAGGGTACAATCCATCGCCTTGCACATACATGTGAGATCCCGGCAACAGCCATTTCTAACGAGAGTGGCGGATCGTGCCTCCTTTGCCCACGCCTTTCCTTCTGTGACTGGGAAAGGATCCCGCCATGCAGGCAGGAGGGCCCCAGGGAGGCATCCTTGGGATCAGAAATGGCGGGCCTCTTCGCTTGGGGTTTCCTTTTGCAGAGACACCCCCCCCTCGGGGTGACAATGACAATCAGAGGGTACCTCTGGGGGAAAAGATGGAATTAAATAAACACACGAGGGAGAAAAATACAAAAGCTCAACCACTGGCTCATTTAAAAATTAGATGAGGATCATTCGGTGATTAATAAGTACTGAAGGGGAGAAAATCTACTTCCTTTATTCTGGATGCTTCCTCTTTAAAAAGCCGCTTTCTTTAAATATATGTACTAATGTCCACAAGGCACCATTAATAATATGTAATTACTAACTCAAATCATCCTGGCTGAGGGCGAGTGATTCCAGGACTCTTGAGTTACTGTTCAATTTGTGTGACACACACAAATGCATACTTGTCTTGTGGAAGATGCAGGAGGCCCTGCAAGGAAGCAAGTGGTGGCACAATGTGCCCAGAAAAAAAAAAACAGCATTGTAAAATGATTAGGATGGTGGTGGCTGGCTTCTTTCTGTTCTTCTAGCTTCCTCTTTTCTTGGGGGGGGGCGGGGGTGTGGAGAGGTGTGGCTGATCTCAGTGATGCTTCTCTTACTTACTCTGTACCTTTCACTTTTAGGAATGTTTTTTAAAAGCAGTGTCTCCTGGTTGATCAGGTTATGTGGATTTCTTCAATTGTAATCCACCCACCATCTTCAGTCGGAGGGGTGGGTGGGATTCTGGCTCGTCTCTTCCTGGGCTTGCAGTTTCTGCTGCAGCCTCTAGAAATCTACAACGTACGCCATGCCTTCTTGGAGGATTCAGCAGACAATAGCTATAGTGTAATAAGAGGGTAGTTGGCCCTTCCCCCACCCCACCCCACCCCATTCACTTGAACCGGTTATTATGAGCTCTGCCAGCTCCTTACATGCTTCTGTCTGAGGCATTGTGGGCTGAAGATAAACTGAAAGGAGAAATTTCAGTATTTCCAAACAGGCAGGCCTGTGCTGACTAAGAGCAGAGTATGCCAAGTACTTCCATCTTTATACAAGCATTCAGAGATGGAGATCATGAGGAAGTATATATTAAGTGTCTGTTATGAGACACAGAAGGACTAGATGTGATTCTGAGAAAAGACTTCTTTTGGAAAGATATACAGGAAATAGAAGAATGTGATACAACAAAAATAGGATATTTTTACATGGGCTGGATAGCTAATCACACATACCATACAGGGGAAAACAATTACTGGAGAAATGCAGGAAATATTTTAACTGAGTTTTAAGATGCTTTCGCTCCCTTTAAAGGAGTTTCCAGTAGCATTGCCAGTTCTCCCACTTTTTTCTGAAATGATTTGTTATGTGCATTTTTAAATTTATATAAACATATGCAAGTGTTCAGTTGCTCATTGATTAATACAGCAGCTGTATTTTAAAGTGACAGGACATTTAGGAAAAGGGTGTGTGTGTACCTGAACCTCCACTTTGTGGTAATCCAGAGAATGAATGGTCACATATTATGTATCCAAGAAGAAAAATTCACTTGCTTGCAATTTAAACTGTAATCCCTAAGAACAATACATGCCCTTATTATCCTCACTACACACAGAGATAGTGGAGTGCTGGAACCAAAGTATTTTAAGCTACCTTGTGCCAAAATTGTCTAGTTAGTATCAGTGGAGAGGAGGTGTAGCTCAGGGGTGGAGTCCATGCTTCAATTCTTAGCATTTCTAATCTTAGCTGAGAAACTTGTCTGAAAAATTTGGGAGCTGCTGCTGATCAGTTTCCTAAGTTATCAGAATCAATGGCCTGGAATTGGTATAAGGCAGCTTTGTTTGTTCCTTGTGCTCCAACTGGCAGTAGAATGTCAAGAACTGATGACATGCCCATTAGGGATAGGATTTCCTAATTCTCCTTTATAGGACTTCTCTCTGATAGAAGGATACCTAAGCATGGCTTACCTAGGAGAGAAACCTCAGCTGAAAGGCTCTGGGGCCTAACTAGGTCTAGCTCCACCTAGCTTCCTGTTGAGATAGAAAGTTTCGAATTAACACCAGAGCAGGAACAGGAAGCTTAGGCAGAGATAGCCCTCAAAGCCTTTGAGTTGAGGCCTTTCTCTCAGGTGATCCATATTTAGGGGTCTGTCAGGTAGAACTCACAGAATGGAAAATTACAGAATTTGTAACAAAACCCCCACCCCTAGTGACCATCATCTACTACAGTGGTCGGGGAACAGGGATAAATTACCCCAAATGGGATAAAAATGAAAATCGTGGGGGTATCCTGCCACGACAGTCCTCATTACCCCCAAGCATTTTATTTCTGACAATGCTGTGTGTAGGCGGGCATTCCGTCGCAGGGAGAGTGAGCCCCGGCAAGGAACTGCACAAGGGCACCCGCCTGCCCTCCTCACCTCCAAAGTGTGTGTGTGTGTTGGGCGGAGGGCGGTGGACCGAGCCAGCTGGACTCTTTGCCCAGCGGAGCCCCGGCTGGGGCTCTCCTTCCTGCTCATGCCCGCCTGCCCGGTGCGCTGGCTAGGAGGCCCCCTTCCTGCCCCACCTCACCTGAGCTCATGGCCTATGGACCTGTCGGCCCTGCGGCACCCGCTTCCCCTTGCCAAGGACGTGCTTTTCCAGCAGCATGGTGGCTGCAGGTCCTGGGCGAGTGCAGAGGCAGGGGGCAGCCACGGACGGGTTGGTAATGTCGGCACATAGGGGGGGGGGGGTAAAGGTAAAAAAGTTCCCTGACCCCTGAATATTATTTGTGGTAGTGGTTCATCCATTGGAGTAAGTGGAGTGCTGTCTCATATCAGGCCAGAGGCTGACACTAATATATTAGAATCAATTAAGAAGGCCTTTTTTTTTTAAAGGACAATTCAGTATTTAATGTTGGTATTTTGTATCAGTGTTTCTCCAGTGGCAAGTTAGTCTGGTATGGGAAAGAGCAAGGAAAGAAAGCTGTTGCCAGGAAATAGGATAATCAATGAACTACATAATCAATGAACTACATAGTAAAAATCCTGTTTAGCGAACCCATCAAGACCTGCATTGCCTAGGCTGATGAAGACTCTTAAAGCAAGTTAAAGAAAGGGCAAGGAAGTGAGATTATTACCAAAGGAGAAAAGGAAAGTAAGAGGAAGATATTTGATACAGAATTGGATTTTCAAACATTCCTGGAGCTGTTTTCTTCTGTCTAAAGCTCAAAGTGGGCACAAGGGAGGGGAGGAGTAAAATAATGGATGGGATTTTTCTCCTTCATTATTTTAAATCTCTTAAGTATAAACATAAATGAATGAATTTTTTAAAAAGCTTACTGATGATAAACTTTACATGTGACAAGTTTTCACTAACTTTCCAGCCTCAGGCTACGCTCACCCTATTCCCACATGTTACTTGACCAGATGCAGAGGACTTCTTTGTGTGTTTCTGTGTGCATGGATGGTTGCCTTTGTGTGTGTGTGTATGTGAAAGTAAATGTAGGTGCATATGATCACCCCCTGGATCCATCCACCACTGCTTGCTGTACCTTCCACTTCACCAACCACAATGGGCACCAGTGACTAGCTGATTAACTTTTCTTCATTGGAAGATGTCAGCAACAAACTTACTGTACTGTGCATCCTTTCTGTGGCATGCCATTGAGTACCACCCCAACACTTGATGGGTTGCTTTTTTACTGTTGCTGTTAGAGTAGCCGAGACAGCATGGCCACTGGGTGTATAACAAAAACAAAAGAAACCCACAGAAGCTCACATTGAAATTGATCTAATCTTAAGGATGCCAGAATACCAGTACAGTACTTTTGTTTGTGTTATACATGCAGAAGCACACTAACACAGCTACCTTTCTGGACCCTGTTTGATCATTTACATACCAGCTGTATCTGCAAGCTGGTGGCATTTGGAGTGACCCTAAATTCAGCATGAAATGCCTGTAATTCTACCATGTTTGCATAGCACTATAAGAAGGTTAAACTATGCCAGTCCTTGACTGTGAAGATCAAAATGGCAAGCATGCTGTCCTCCATTTTACGGAATGAGAACACATAGAAATTGTTTCTTTTAAAAGTGGGCATTCATCCAGCTCTTTTGTCCAAAAGAACCAAACTAGTTACAGTACATTCATGTTATCTACGTGGGAGGAGGAAATATTCCATATTAGTAAACAACTTCTTTTTTAATTTACAAAGTTACACCCACAGAGAGAGAGAATTGTGAAAAGACCATCACCACAGGTAATGCTTGCCTTTGCATTGCAGACTAGCATTTCTAATGTGGGGTCCTTAAGGTCTCTTGTGCTAAAACCCCTTTCCTTCCAGCTATGAAGATTAGGACTGAAGTCCTACTTAACTGGAGGACAGCAGGCAGAGAAAGACTGCTTTATGTTGTCCACTTGTTTGGGGAGATTCTGTACCCCAACGCCAAGGACACATCCATTCATCTCATTTTCATAAGAAAATAAAATAAACAGGACAGTGGTTTTATGCTTTCCCCCAAATCCAGGAAACAGAGAACTAAGCAAAACCTTGTGAGAGTCTTAAGTACAGAAGGGGTAGCTTAATGACTA